GGGGGGGGGGGGGGGGGGGAGGGCTGTTTGAATAGGACTACTCAAAAAACCTTGTACATTTTTCATCGATAGGGGAGGTTCCTGACCTATGAATTGAGAAAATGAGACAAAAAACATATGTAGGACTACTCTAAAAACCTTGTGCATATTTTTTGGGTTTTTAAAATAGGGATCCTATCTTTGGATCGATTGGGGAGGTTGTAGGATCGAGATCATGAGATCGGATCGAGAATCATAAGATCCTGTCTTATCAACTGAGAAAATGAGACAAAAAAACATATGTAGCAATGCGAAATTCTCATAAAGAAGAATTAAATAAGCCTAGTATATATAAAAATAAATATATTATGACCAATATAGAACTTCAAATATGATTGAAATTTGATAACCTAATTTGAACATGAACAGGGTTTAAACTTTAAAATTAAAATTGAATTGTTAATCTTGTGGGATTTTCATATAGGAATAGAAGAATTGAACTATTTTGATCTTGTCTTTTAGAGAAAGAGACGAAGAGGAGAAATCGAAAAGTTGAAAGACTATTGGATACAAAGGATAAAATGAACTATTTTATTTTTTGTTTTTATTTTTTGCTTTTTACATATACATAGTACCTTATTTTGAGGATCAAAACGTTATTCTACGTTATATATTTATTTTAGTCGTTGAATATTAGGTTAATTTCACAAATTTTCAGATTTGGGTTTGTCTAATACAATTACTTTATCAACTCTGAGATAACCTACAAATTGTGAGTTCAGGAAGTAAATATCAAATTCTAGGAGAAAGTAAAGCTTCAGTAAAAAAGATATATGATCTTTGTGATGGAGTGTAAACTTGATTTTGTTTTTCAGTTTTTGTATATAATGAAATATTTGGACATGTTTTGTGATTTTTCTTTTGGAGAACGAACATGTTTTGTGATAGATATAGCAAAAATACCTCATAAAATTTGAATCACATAGCAGATTTTCCCTTTATGATTAATGCAAAAGCCAACTCCCATGTGTTGGTTTTTTCTTCAAGGCTTTCATTTCTTCTACCATTGCTTCTCTTCACTTAGGATCGTGAGAGTTTTTTTCCAACCTTGAGGAATAGACACAGAAGATAAGCAGGAAACAGAACTACGATATGATGGAGATAGAGAATCAAAAGAGACAGTTTGAGATAGGATGTCAATTTCAAGTTCTAACGCCCTTTCTCAATGCAATAGGGAGTTTAGAGTCATCAACAAATAGATTATCAATAACAAGAGTAACATCTGGAGGTTCATTACATGATAAATCAAAGGAGGATGGACTAGAGTAAGAGAATTCAACTAATTTCGCGGTACATGGTTAATTTGTAGTTTTTGACATCGAGAATTAGGTTTTCAGATTATCCTTATGGAGGTGAGCACCATGTGGATCACTATAATAATTTTTTCCTCCTTAAGCTGTTGCTCATTCTGGCTAACATTCCACTGAACAGATAGTTGAAGAAGTGGCTCTTGACAAAACATCTCTTCTTCGATAGTGGTATTCTCCCATTGAAGAAATGTCTAGGGAGTAGAGAAAAAATGACTCAAATTCACAAAAGGTAATATTTATGCTAACATATATTTTTTGAAATTGTAGATAACAATTATATCCCTTTTGGATGGTAGAGTAACCAACAAAGACACATCGTTGAGCCATGGAAAACAACAACAACCAATAACTTTAAGACAAAGGGAAGAAATAGAAGGAATGGAAAAAGACTTAGAATAACACTCAATAGGAAACTTAAATTGAAGGACACTCAAAGGTAGACGATTAATAAGATAAGTAGCAATACGAGTTGCATTCCCTAGAAGGATTGAGAGTAAAAATCAATGGATGAGCAATGGACAGTAAGTAAACACACAGGCAAAGTATATAGAATTTACATGCAACAATCAAACCTTTCTTTCTCAATAAAGTATAAGGGACTCAAGTCTTGGGCCTGTTTACAAAAATGTGCCAACTCTCTTGTTGCACTACAGACCCCAGACACCCTATTTATAATGTTCAGGGTGGCGGTTACAAGCCCAATTGCCTAGGCACATGACTACAATTCAAATCCTCTAGAGTCTGCTCTGATTGGATGGCAGAATAAGTTATAACTGATGTCTGTAACTTTCTTGCAGGCTGTCTGAATCTGACAAAGATCTCACATGCTGTCCATTTGTCAGAAAATTGCATAGAACTGCCACCATTTACGGAGCACATGCCCAACTTCCTCACATGTTGTGCATGTGCTAGGAGTCCTCAGCATCCGAATTGCATTACATTCGTGCCTAACCCTGGCCCAGCTCATGGTTCAATTATTCAAGCTAGCATTGCCCCACAATTCAAGCCACCCGCTTCCTTGTTTGCATGTTGATTTGTGTCCACGTGTCCATGTGCATAGACTGCCTCCCTCAGTCATGCATGGGACTTCTGTCATTTTGGCTAAGGCATGAGCGTCTTTGAGCGAGGCTACCCGATGCTAAATGTTGCCAATGGCTAAAGGGGTAACAATTGCGAAGTAGGTAAACCAAGTAAGGCGAGAACAACAATTAATAAAGGTAATAAACCAATGATAACTACAAATAGACATACCACGAGAAGGGCCCCAAACATTAAAATGAATAATGATAAAAGGTGCAATACTTTATTAGTACTATGATAAGATGAATGTTTATACTTGGTAAATTAACAAACATCATAAACAAAAAATTGTTTACTACATTTCTTCACTAGATTAGGAAAAAGATTCTCGAAGGAACTAAATGTGGGATGTCCCAAACGTCTCTGCCAATGATGTATGGATTGAAAGGCCAAAACACCATTTGACTGGAGAGTTTGACTGGTAGATTGAGAAGAAGCTTCAACATCCAGGAGATACAGACCATCATTTGTTCTACCACTGCCAATTATTTTTTTTGATTCCAAATCTTGAAAGCTATAATGAGTACGAAAAAAAGTTATTGCACAATTCAAGGATTTAATAATACTATTAACAAATAATAAATTAGTGAAAAAATTAGGAACTGGAAGAATATAAAGAAGTTGTGCAATTAATTGCATCTTTTTCAGAAATGGAAGACAAAGATCAAAGACCACCTTAACTTTATCACTATAAAAATGAGTAGAATATGAAAAGAAAAGATTAGAAGACCTTTGTCATGTAATTCGTGTCTCCAAGGAGTATATGGGGATGATGCATTAAACACAGTAGTAGATATATACTTATACTAGTCATAATGTGTGTCTGAAGGCACGATGAAATATAAAATTCGAATTTTTAAAAAATCGATCTCACTATATTAAATAACAATTTTTTTTTCTTCATTTCTTTGATTACATCATTTAAAATTTATTTTTACTCATTATTTTCTTAAAAATATTAATTTTCTCAAAATACACAATTTAACAAAATTTTTTCAACATGTGTATGTTATCGTGTATGGATGATGCCAAAAATAAAAATTATGTTAAACTACAAATTAATCAAATATTAAATAATTGAACATGTGATAGAAATGAATGATGTGATGTTTTTGAGAGAGAAAACATGTAGGGGATAAAACTGAAGTTGCGAATATATATATATATATATACACACACACTAGTAATTACTCGTGCCTAAAGACACAGAATAACAAAAAAAAATCACCAATTAAAACTTTACATATAGGCACAAATAGTTTTTGCCAAACAAAGACCACGTTAACAATAGAGACAAATTGGAAAACTGTCTAAAACATAAATTAAAAAAATGGCAGTGCAAATAGTTTTTGCCAAACAAAGGCCACTTTAACAACAGAGACAAATTGAAAAACTGTCTAAATATAAATTAAAAAGAATGGCCTCCAAGCAAGCCATGAGGGATAAATCCTTCCCTTAGTCCAGGCGTGAATGCCCTTGTCTTTGCCCGGACTCAGATTAGTCGAAGTGGGCATGAACTGACCCGACATTTGAACCAAAAAAAAACTCTTCGATAGTGTTAGCCTGTAGAGTGGTATATATATTAATCTTCATAGCAGTAGATCACTTACCTCCTCTGTTTTGATCCCAATAGGAGCCATTTACCCATCAATCCATAGAAAGCAAATTACATGAAGAAACAACGAAATTCCAAAAATTCTAATTAATTTAAAATTAGATTCTAAAATTAATTTAAAATTCCAAAAATCTAATTATTCTTCCTACCATTATCAAATCAAAACTAACCTTAAACAATACATAATCAAGCTGCTGCTGAACGTTCATGAAAGTTGATCGAACCCATCTTCGAGCAGGGTCGTGATCCAAGTTCTGAGACGCGATCGTGTTCATCTCATCACTCACTCCTTCAATGCTCTGTTTCTTCATGGACATGATCGTAAGGACGGTTCTTGGGGTCAGAATTTTTGGTTTCGGGCTCAAATTCGGCCAGAGAAAAATGGGTATGTCACATTTCCGGCGAAAAAGGAGTTCAGCTGGTTGTCGGAGTGTGGAAGTTAGATAAAGGCAAATAGTCCAAAAACAAACATAGGCACTAAGAGGAAACGTTGCACTTTCAGAATCTCATGGCGTTGGAGATGTTGCCGGTGAGAGAAAGAAAGGGGTATAAAATGGTTTTGGCGAAGGGGGGGAAGAGAGGGGGCACCTGGGTTCTTGCCCAGTGTAGAGGAAAGACATGACTGACAGGCATAGAGGAAAAGAAGGGTAAAAAATTAGAAGATTTTTGACAGGGATGACAGGCATGGTGCTCCATGTGGGTGTGTCAGGCGGCTGTGTGCAAGAGAGGTAGTGTAATGTTAAGAGGGAGGTGATGAGTGTGATAAGACGATTTTAGGAGGGAAAATATATGAGGTATAAAATTTCAAACTCCCTTTTGTTTTATTATATAGATAAGCAAAGTTAGAAGAAGAGGCAGGAGTAAGAACTGTAGTATAGGAAATATCCGATTAAGTCATTAGATACCAAAGAGTTTGCATCTCATAATGAAAGAAATTAGAATGAGTAGATTGAGATGGAGGCTCTTAAGATTCTGTCTTGTGTGCATGAGATCGCACATTACTCCCTCTCTGCCACGTGTAGGACGTCCAATTAGTTTACAACAAAACTCTCTAGTATGTTTGGCCTTCCCACAATAGTCACATTTTAATGTATCCTTGGTAAGAGTGCCATCCGGCACCTGTATTAGTAGACTTGAGCAAGGCTAAACTCAAGTCACGTTGAGGATTAACAACTAATGCAGACTGTTCCTGAGTAGGAGCATAAATCATAGCAATTTTTCGGCTCTTCTCTTGCTGAGCATGGGCATAGGCCTCTTGTAAAGTTGCGAATGAACAAAAACCCAAAATTTGAATATGAATTTGATTATACTCAATAATAAGAAATTCATACACGTTCATTTTCCACCATCTGTTGAAACTTTACTGCATTATTAGCACAATCTGCTTTGAAATTATAGTAGTAGTCAAACTCTTGCCACAAGGTAGTTAAATCTACAAAATAAACTACAAGATCTAATCTTTCTGATTAGTCTCTCTGACAATGTTATTAGAACCGGACCGGTCATCGAATCGGCTAGGAGACTAGGTCAATAGTTCACTAGTTCAACCGGTGGGTCACTGGTCGAACCGGCCATATAATAAAAAAATAAAAAATATATATAATAATTATAAAACATAATAATTTAGCAAGAAAATATAAAATATGTTTATTGAGTTGAATACTATAACCTGTTTATTGAAATCAACCACCATTCAATGAAATCAACCACCATTCACGAGTCAAAACCAATGAAATCAAAACTAAAGAAATCAAGTCTGACAGATGCACAAACCATTTTTGTTTACATCCAAAATCAACCACCAGTTTTAGTTACTGAGATATGAACTAATGAAAGGAAGTTTTACCTTAATTTATAGCCCGAGTTCGCCTGGTCGTTGGAGCCTGTCACCTCGCCTGGTCGCTAATCGCTGTGGCTTATCAGTGATTACAGTTGAAGATCCCTGGACTGGAGCCTGATCGCTGGAGCTGTGGCGGTGGGGTGCTGAGTCCTTGGTCGAAGACGACGAAGAGTCCTTAGTCGAAGACGGTGGTGGTGGTGTTGAGCCTTGGTCGAAGACGGATGTGGTGGTGCTGAGCCTGATCGAAGACGACGAAGAGCCTTGGTCGCTGAAGCCTGACAGTGGTGCTGCGATTTACAGATTTAGGGCAAAAAAAAGCCCCAAATACCAAAAATAATATAGATTTAATTAGTTTAGGTAATTTAATTTTTAAATGGGCATTAAACCGTCCGGTTTCTAAAAAATTGCCGGTTCACGATTTTTGTTAAAAATCGGTCGGTTTTTCAGTTTTTAAGCGGTTCACTTCTTTAAGCGGTCCAATTAAAGTCCGGTTCTGATAACACTGCTCTCTCTGACTTCCTTCAAAGATCATACGCCTTAGCATTATTGCCTCGTTGAGAATATGTATGGGATACATCAATTCAAATCTTACGTGCTGTATTAAGTAACAGATCACCACGACTGATAGACAGTTGTGTTGAGCTGTGCAACCAAAAACATAACCATTGCATTTTTAGTTTGGCCCATTCCACTTACGTCGCTAACCCCAATAAGCGTGTGGGTCAAAAAGGACCAATCCACTAGCCCATCACAAATGACCCCCGCAAGGCACCACTTAAGGATTTAATGAAGGTTTTTCATAGGTTCCCTTACAACCTAACCTAGAAGATTCTTTATCTAGGATTTGTGGAGGTGCTCTACGGTTCTACAACCGACCTAAATAAGTCCTCACAAGACACCTAACTATGGTTTGGTGAATGTTTTCTATCACTCACCTACATGCCTAACACAACCTCAAACCGTGCATGTCATTACTAAAAACAAAATCTTGGACTTATTAACTCCATCTTGGGCCAATTCCTCTAAATCTAGTTCAAAGTGGTGTGAGTATGCAAGAGTGATCCTAATACAAAATTAAGTGACAAGGAGTCTAACTGACAGTGAGATCCTTGGCTAGAGAATGTTCTGTTCAAGTCTTTGCCTAAGCTCTCGTGGGCATAGTTATTATTACGTCACGAAACACATGAAAAAACAATACTAATTGTGTTTTTGTATCATTTTTGTACCATATCGAATGATACAAGATACAATACCTTAAGAATCTTTTTTTTGTTTTTTTTTTTTTTTTGTTTTTGTTTTTTGGGGATGAAACGTCGTTTCACCCTAAGTTTGTTTTTTAATCCCTATAGCCAGTAAAAACAATATCGTTTCAGTGCTTAAGGTTTTAAAAAAAATAAAGGTTGCGTTCTTCATCGGCGAAGACTAGAACAACAAGCTGTCCACCAAAAGACCAGAAGGGAGAAGGTTCCTCCTTCATCACCATCGGCTATGATTGCCTTTTTTCCTCTAGTTCCTCTAGGTATACGAAAGTTTTTTTTTCTTCTTGTTTATCTTCTGGATTTGCGAAGTTCTTCTTTTGGATATGCGAAGGATCTTCGACTATAGTTGCAGAGTTCGACTCTAACCGATAGTTCCTCTAGTTTTCATTTCTCAAGCTTATAAGGAGTTGTGGGTAAGAGGGCAAGATGGTCGTTTCACCCACTTTCTCTCTCCTAGGGGTATCTATAGGGGTTCAACGGCTTGTTTTTGAACTTGACAGATGTGGTCAACAAATATTATTAGGGGTTGGTCGACCGAGCCTATTCTAGAAGCCAACAGTGTATTGCCAACTCCAAGAACAAGGCAAGTCAGTCTTAGGAATCTGTGCGTAACCTACAAACGTGATCTAGGTTACCTAGACATAACTCCTTATAAGCTTGAAGTTTTCCGAAAATGCTGGAGTTCGTCGATCAACATGAGGCTAAATGTCTTCTTTTCTTCTTTGTTGGTGTCGGGAAGCTCCAAGTCCGAGGCTTGTATCTGTAGCTCTTATGAGTGATTTATCCATCATAACACATCCTAAAATTGCATTACAAGTCCTGAAATTGCTAATCACAGTCTTAGACTTAACAATCTCCCACTTCAGCAATTTCATCACAAATTCCAAAATATAGGATTTTGCCACTCACCCCAATACAATGCAATCCTCACTACATTTGCTCACTCAAATTGAAATATGCAATGAGTACGTTGAGAAACCTACTCTACTACATAGACACCACTACCGCTGCGATGCCATTTGGTTTGAACTTTGTGAGGTTGGTCCCCCTAAATCCAATCCATTGCTCTCCAAGCATATTTACATGAGAAGGACTTACACGAATCCTCCTTGGCTTGCAAGCCAGTCCATATGCAAGTTGAGTAGATGAATTGAGTTCATGTCAAGCTGCTACACCATCAATCTAGTTTGCGTAAGAAGGATTACCACGAATCCAACTCAGCTAGCAAGCGTATGCACAAGTATTCCTGGCAATACCTTTCTTCCCCTTTGTGTTAGAAATGGCCGAAGCACAATTGAAATCGTAATGATGACAAAAGAGATCAATATATATGCAATAAGGTGCGCAATGACAAGAAATGACATAAGAAATATTCAATGTGCATGGCGGTGATGAATCTAAGAAATCCAAAGAGGAATCAAGGACTATTAGGCGTACATGGGGTGATGTAAGCAACATAGATGTATATGATAACTATATGACACTAAACATTAATATATCACATATGCAAGCAAATGGATATATATGCTAACTGAACAACTTGCTTTCAGGGGTTCACACAAGGATATCTAAAATGTTTGATGCCAATTGATGGAAATTGATATCACCTGTAACTATGATCCAAGTGTCTTCTTAAGCTTTCAAATGCACTTATGTAGTGTTCGGATACCAAAAGGGCCATATCCTAGACTCGGTGGGTGGAGAAAGTCAAAAGGATTAAGCATATAGGATGCCAACTGTTCAGAACTAGACTTGACAACTCTCCCCCTTAGGATGATGCTTTATTTGTACTTCTTAGGACCTCTTTGAGTACCAAGGCAATCTCTCTACAACCAAGGAGAAATCACAAGCTCCTATAGATTCTCTAAGGTGGTAAACCCTAAAGTCATTCAAGGGAACCAAGCATTGATATTCGTGAGTGAGAGAAACGATCTCGCCAACTATAAAACATCTAATAGAAGATGACATCTAATTCGGGAGTTCATAGTCTAGACCAACTGTTAGTCATGAACACAGAAATCAATATTCTTTGAATCTTCTCATGCCCTAATAGTAGTTTCCTATGTGAAAGTATCCAACTTCATCCAAGCAAGCACTTCATCGAAACAAAACGAACAATATAAAAAATAAGCAAATATTTTAGTTTAATATTTTGATTACTCCTAAATATTCAAGTTTTAACTTTACAAATGTAAAATATTTAAATGCAACCAAAATAATAAATATCAACATATTTTAAATAGACAAGATATTAAATATTGAATATTATTGCATTCTCAATATAATTAATTGACTTAATCACGTCATCTAATGTAAAGCTAGCAAATGTGAGTTTGACTTCCACTGTAATTGATTAATATCACCACTAAATAGGGCATTCACAAATTGATTAATCAAATAGAGCATATAGGAAATTGATTATTCAATTTGATTAACCAATCAAATTGATTAACAAGAGCATTCACATCAAAATAGAGCATTGAATATAATCTAATCATAATAAGATAGATTGTCATATGATGGTGTTAGATGAATCAATCAATTTATTTTATATATATACATATATAATATCATCTCTGTTAGGGTTTGGTTAATGTTAAGGAGGAAGAAGAAAAAGGGGGAGGAGGAGAAAATAAAAAATTGCAGTTAGGTGTTCGCTTTTCTTGCGTGGCTCTATTCTTTGCTTCGCCGCCTAAACTTGTTTTTTTCTTGCTTTATTTAACTTTGTTTTGCCTAAAATGTTCAAGGCAATCAAGGCTCGCTTCGCGCATAGGCTCGCTTTTCACAACACTGGACTCTCGGATGAGACTAAGTAGCTATCGACCATTGCGACGTGCCCTTGATTGACAACTCAATGTCGGTTCTTTGCCACTTGGGGCTATAGTATGTTCTAAGGATTGAGTTGTTTGCTTATAAAAGCAGTACGTGAACTGGGTTTAAAACATTGTGAGACAGTTCGGTCTATATCCGGTGTGGGCATTAGAGCTTTGAGATGACCTTTCTCTAGTAGAGAGGATTGGGAAGGACACACTTCTAATGTGCCAGTTATCATGCCTAAGGTAAATGTTTGGTAGCCAAGTGCAGAGCGGATAACTGTTGAAAACATCTAAATATTAAGTTCACCTAAAGATGAGTGCTCCTATTCCGATGGACCTTGAGATACTTTAAGGTCTACTTTACTTGGGGCATTTACGAATAAGCAATGCCTAATGGTGCCCAAGTCCTCCAAGATGTTTTGGTTTTTGAAGCAAAAATCAAAATGACTACTAAAACAACATTGGTTGGGAAGGGTCTTACACTTATTTATTTGATTTTCAACTAAGAATCCTAAGATGCCCAGAAAGATGCAAGTCAAATGATCATATTCCAATGCATAGGAATCTCTATTATGGGGTATTCCAAGTTTGATCAAATGACCAAACGATCCCTGAACACGTGTAATACCTGCTAATGTTCAATCATTTTATGGTAATTACACTTGAGACCCCTAAATTTTAAATAATCTTCAACAGACCTATATTCAGGGAACTAGACTGAGCAAGTCTTGGATATGATAGTCAAGCTCTAAAAGATTGATGTCTAGTTGCAATGCAATCAGGTGATTAGTTATGTGATATAAATATGATCATGACTGAACCTCAACAAAAGGAATCACATGGTCGCCGAACCTCAACAAAAGGAATTACATGGCCACTCTAAGAATGTGATCGTCACTAATCATGGCCAGTAGAGGGTGTACTTAAAAGAATCGTAATCGTATAAAAACAAAAGTACACTAAGAAAAGAAAATCCTACCTCTACAATCTACAACATTTGACCAAAGAAGAGTTATTCAATACTCCCCTTTTATAGCCTAAGGTCAGTGTGTACATCCATTGGTCTTTAGGAAACCTCACGGTAAGGCAAAGGAATCTAGGGGATAGAACTCCATTGCTCTTGATTGTCCCATACTCTTTGATTGAAGAACAAGGACTTCATCATCCAAGAAGTGAAATAGGCAAGAGTGAAACCTAGGACCTAGGTCACTAGAAGGACTCGACAACTCATCAAACTAGGTTGCCATGCAACGTTCTCTAAGGAAAGTGTGTTTATGCTTGAGCACTGTCCTAAGATTTTTATTAAAGAAATAAACATCTAACAAAGCATATTGACTCAGAGTTATCGTGACTATTCAAATAACTATTGCAAGGAATGATCTAATCCTCTTATCGCCGGTGCGGATGATAATGAGAAAGATGCATTATGTTGATTACTTATGTCCAACGGTTGAGTCAAATAAGAGAGAAGGTAGGAATGAAGGAGAAGATAGGAATCTCATCTAGAATCATTATTCTTTAGAAAGCAGAATACGAAATTATGGAGACTCATTATTGGTAGTCTATTTAAATTTTTTTGGGCTGTTGGGAAAAAGAACCAATGAACAAATGATAGAGAACTTTTGTTATTGCTATGAGTAGCATTCTATATTTTTATATTTTTTTGGCCCATTAAAATGAAATTAAATCATACCAGCGACATAAGGAACATAAGATTAAATCGAACAAATAGAAAATAAAATTAAAGAGAAAGGTAGGTGTGGATTAATGGAGTTGTTTGACATTGGGGAGTGTGTTGGTTGAGTTTTGTCATTGGGGTCGAGCGAGAAATTTTGTTTTTGGGATAAACTTTGAACTATTGGATCAAAGTAGATAAAATGTCGATCAATCTTGATCGTTATTGTGTTTTTATAAGTTGAGACTTCAACTTTCTGACTGTAATATTAAATATATATATAAACTAAATACATAATATTTAATGTGACCCAACGTATCCATATCCTACTTTTGGTAATAATGGAGGACTAGTGTCTATTGCCTTACATTTGATGAGATTTACTTGAGTGGAGGAAAAAGGTTTAGTTCAAGGCTTCACAAGATATCAACCAAGGACTGTGTGTGTGTGGGTATATAGATATATATGTAAATACCTTGGTGATCAGTGTACCTATAATTGTGAGTCACATTGCTTTTCTTGGCAGGGAGTTGGTTCAGGATCAAAGTCTTTAGCCTTTTCTTGGTCGCTAATACCTTTTTTTTTTCCTGTGGAAGGAGAAAATGTTGAACTAGATCTTCAAAGAGGACTTTCTGTTTTCTGCAGCTCAAATCATTGAAATATTCCCTATATGTATACTCATTCAACTCTAATAGACAGAAAAAGGTTGGCCATTTTGCATTATCTCTTGTACATGTCTTTGATCATGAACTTTAGCAACAAGATGGAATTCATAAGTTCCTATCCCTGATACTCTCCTGAAGTTGAGCATGAGTCCCAGAGAAATGTCCACCTGTCATGTAACTTTGAATTTCCTATCCAGGCTAATCTGCATGTGGGTTATTCTGGATCCCCAATGCGCTGTCTTTAGAAACTGGACCTTTGTTTGCCCCATTGCTCAGATAGGCTTGGTTTGGGTTGTGATGTACACAGATAAGAACACTTCGACTATTGTTATGAAATCTAATGCACTCATTGTTGGTTCTAGAACACATGGCAACGGCAGTTGCCTGTTGGCACTGTAAATCTTGTTCAAGATTCACAATGATAATCCTGGGTCTGTAGGGTTGACTTGTGATTTGTGTGGAATGAGCTGGCCTTTTTTTTTTTTTGGGGGGGGGGGGACTAGAACAGTTAAAGTAAAGCATTTCTTTATCTGGATAACCATAGTAATTATTCTTGTTTCCTTTCAGGCTATTCCACATGCCATAGCAATGATCAGAGCAGCAGACAAGAAGAGCCCTAGAGAAGCTGTTGAGTTTGTTTTACAACTTTTGAAGGTAGATGTTTTTACCTCGTTGTTTCCTTTTGTTTTGCCATCATGATGGGTATGTTTTGTTTGTGATATGGGGTCTCAATAATTCAGCTTTTTTCCTTTTGTATTTGTTCATATTGGATCAAGGTAGTTGATAGAAAGATATGTTTTTGAGTTCATGATGTAAAGTCATGTGAATTGATTTAGAAAGTGTGGACTGAAATAGTTTTCCTGAGGTGATACGTTCTAACTGAAGTGTTTGATCCTCCGTCATGAAAAAGCAGCCAACCATTCGACCACCCACTCCCACCCCTCTTCCCAAAGAAAATGAAAACGAGGAAGAAAAGAAAAGATGCAGGATGGAGCTCAGAGGGATTCTGTTTATGGTTAGATTTATTGTAGGCTTTAAGCCCTTGTGTATGGAAAACTAGTCAATAGTTTGAAAGGGTGGAAGAAAGATTTCGGAACGTCAAGGATCAAAATTTTGTTTAGGATCAAAAAGTTCATCACCAAAATTTTGTCACTTCGGAATTTTTTTTGAAACAAATGAAAGCGGATAAACAAATTGGGAATTTGTTTTCAAAACATTTATTGGTCGAAATATACAGGAATATCATGAAACAGCCCGAAACATTCCAAAACATTGGTAAACATGTCAAAACACCTCGAAACATTCCGAAATATTTTGAAGTATTGGAATTTCGATTCAATCGTTTCGTTCTCCTTGGAATATTAACGTTTTGGCTGTTTCGACTATTTTGAAATGATATTTTGATCCTTGCAGTACATGTAGAAATTGGATTAGTTAACAAATGATAGGTTGCTGGAAATTTAGAAAAAGTTTGCTGGGAATATCTGGATGACTGCTAAGGACTTTAGGTGATGAACTAAGGTGATAAAGCCAAGGGTCAGTGTTAGGGAACTAGGCTTCGATGAAATATAAAAGAAAAGAAATTTAAGGGCTATATGTGGTTAGATTGGATGATTCAGCATAAGGGAGAAAGGAAAAGGTGAATGAGAAGAAGATAATTTTTAGGAAATTAACAAATAGTTAATCTAGCCTTTACTTCTAATGTTATTCTGACTGATTTAAGATATGCATGAACATCTAGAATCCGAGTTAGACTCATGCCTCAATGACCAATGTGTTGAGTGTCTTGGAGTTATCAAACTATGGCATTAAATTATCAATTGGTTACCTCAAGTACTTTGTCTTTGTATTGTATCCAAAGTGATAAAGATCGGTTTGTTATGACATGCTAGGATAATGATGACTTATCCAAGATGGGGAACAAAAGAAGCTAGGATTATGCTCAAGTTTGCTTTTGCTAGCCAGTGAGCAAGCTCTTGAGAGGCGGGGTCAAAATTGTGAATTAGCTACTCGGCTTAATTTACCTTAATATATATACCTAGTTGCACCGGATAAAGTTAGATCTATATTATGTTTATGATGAAATATTGGACCATCAAAAGTCTCCACGTAATAGTATTGCTAAACCAGTATTCCGTTTGATGACATCAATCATATGAACTGAAAGAAGGTAAAACAGAATGTGTGGTCTATTAATAGATTTATAAGCCTTTATAGAGCAACCTTTCTCCAAAAGTTGTGTAACTAAAGCACACAGAGTGTTCTGTCAAATGAAAGAGTGATATGATGGTTTAACCTACCACAATAAAATAAAGCAACATAAAATAAAATAATTAACACCTTCAAATGGCGCACTATGCTTATAGGGCTATTCATTGCTGCCCCCTCTATAAAATAATAATTTCTCTTGAAATCTCAGTTGAGGTACTTAACTGAACTCAACTGAGGATAGTGTAATCCCAACTAAGTGGGGTTGTGTACATCACACTAGTTTCTCCTTGATTTCTTAGATAGTCCTCATGACAGTATTTGAATGGTTTTGTTTCTTCTGTTCTACCAAGTTGAAAATTTTTGTCTTAAAGATTGTGCCTATCATTTCCCAACTACTTTAGACAGCACTCATCATGTTAATACATATATATGCTTTGATTAATTTAACACGATATTTATGTAAGCATTTGGGGTTGGAAATAAATCTTTTCCCACATTTGATATTTTTATTTTGTTTGGAGACAAGAAAGTTCTCTGTTTTTTATTTTTTTTGGGGATGTTTTCTAGGCTGGGGGTTCAATCCAATTCTTTCCTTTTATGCTTTGTGTTAATTGTTTTGCTAGTTTTTCACTTTTCTCACTCTTTTTTTTTGTTTGGATTTTTATTATTTGAAATAGTATAATGATAACAATGGGAACCCCCACTCTGACGTGTTCTGGCTTGCCGCATTAGTCCAGTCGATTGGCGAACTTGAGTTTGGGCAACAGGTTTGTATATATCATTCTTAACACTGTTTTATGATTTGATGTTAGTTTCTTGATGTACACATACAGTTTGACTCTCAAAATGGTTGAGCATGGAATTGACCAGATATAAGTGGCTTGTAGTTTAAGCAGTGTTCCTTGCCACAAACAATTATTTTCCTCGCTATGGGGTTATGGATTTATGCTTGGAGAGGGTATGGTGGTTAACATAGTCACAAAGCAGAAAGATCCTTGTTTGAATGTGGTTATCTTACCCTTCGTTGACAGGGATGGGTTAATAACAATAGACCACATTTTTAGGTGTCCATCTTATTGAAGAGTTTCGTGAAATGTTGTGTTCAATTCTCAACGAGTGACAGAATTGAATGTCTTATAACTATTTGTGGATTTGTGGATTTGTTTAAGATGGCTTATACAAAGTCTTGCCATACAAAATTAGGTTTATTTGCATGAATACTAACTATTTATCAATGGGCCTTTGGTCCAATGGTACTCCTTGCCTTGTGAGACTTTGTCGTCTTGAGGTCAAGGGTTCAAGCCCCCTCTCCCTCTCAAAGAAAAAAAAAACTAGCTATTTCTTTAGTTATATATCTATGAATTGCCAATATTTAATTTTTTTTCATATGCATAGCAAATTCAGTGATGTATCTTTCCATACTTATATCTTAATTTTTGGATTTCACCATTTTTGCTACTGTGTCAACCCTTATCCCCTGGCTTAGGCTTTGAAATGGTGTTAATTTAGAGTGATAGACTTGGATAAATAAAGCGTAGGCAAATGGGGTGAGGGGTTTCATATTGCTAGAATAAGAGGTATTGCTTGTAATGGTTTAGGGCATTGTGGAATCACATGACATGATGGTTTAAGGCATCAAATTATACAAGCACCAAGGCTACAATATTGTTTGTCTCATCCTTGAAAGAAAAATGAGTTGAACCCTGTGTACAATTGAGGAGTTTATTTCATTCCTAACTACTTCAAATGGAAGCAACTTGTTGACAAGTTGCTTGCAGAGGATTATCCTACAAAAAAGTCTGTGTTGGTTTTGATCTGTGCCAGGTGGCTCAGAGATCTGTTCAAACACTTTCGGTACATAAATGAACGATAATGACCACAAAAATTTTAGTTGGTTTAGGTCCCCAAGCCTGGTTCGCTGCGAGATCTATTCAAATTTCGAACACTTTCTGTTCGAGAAAGTCCATAACAAAGATTTTTCTTTGCTATTATCTGTATGGCACGTGATAAAATATCTATCTCCACATAAAACCCTGTTTCGTAGCTCACTCTTCTGGTATCCTGTGGCAGAGTATTCTGTTTTTATCTTCTCTTCTCAAGCGCATCGACCGGCTTTTGCAATTTGACAGGTGCATATTTCATTGAATGTTGGATTCAAAGGGTTATTTCAACTTATACTTCTAACTTATTGCATTGCAAATGGCATGTACTAGGCTGATGCCAAGCTATAATGGGATTTTGGCAATAAGCTGCATCCGAACATTGACTCAAATTGCTTTAAAGCTTTCAGAATTCATTCCTCTTGTAAGTGTGTTTTCCTCGTGTATGATATCCACCCTCCAAACTTGGCAATTAAATGTGACAGCAATTGGTGGTTGCAGGATCGTGTCATTCAACTTATCAAACCTTTTCAGAACACGAAGACAATGTGGCAAATAAGAATTGAAGCAAGCAGGGCACTCCTTGATCTTGAGTTCCATTCCAAAGGAATTGATGCGGCATTGATGTTGTTCATTAAATACTTGGGGGAAGAGTCATCATTAAGAGGTTGTGCAGCACTAATTTACTTAGCCATTGTCTTCTTTCTCATGTTCCAGTATCTCTTTAAGTAATGCTCGTTATGTTTGGGATTCTTTCGGTTAGTTTTCCCTGTTTAGGCTCATTTTCTTACCTATTTTGTGTTCCTCTATTACAGGGCAGGTGAAGTTGGGTGTGCATGCTATGAGATTGTGTCAGATAGGAAGTAAATTAGATCCTGGAAGCGATATAAATGGCGAATGTCTTGTGGCTTTGCTTCGCCTGCTTGAGAGCCCTATGGCGTTCAACAATGTTATTCTGCGGCATTACTTGTTCTGCATGTTGCAAGTTATAGCTGGAAGGTACTCGTTCTTCCAATTTTCCCAATCAGTATATAGGTGATGCTTATTTCTGTTTTAGGATGAAAACTCAGTATATACTGATATTTAGTTGTGTTTTCATTTTTTATTGTTATTTAATGAGGTGACAAGTATATCTTATGATCTTTCTTAAGTCATCATTAATTGCTTTTAATATCAAATGAAAATAAGTCAGAAAGGTTTTCAAAAAACTGCAAATGCTTCGAAACACTATTAGAAGACCTCTAATTTCATCCAACAATTTGTTGTAATAGTGAAAGTTCCGCCATGATGCTTCAAGAGTATAAACTCTGCTGTACAGAATAAACCTATAGATTAGTCCATAACACTTGGATTTCTATTAGGATTGTGCTTACATTTTTTGCCCTCCATCTGCAATAAACCATGGGTTGTTATGCCAACTAGCACTTGGGAAAACTTTACAATAGAATATTAATTCATGTCATTATATAGAGCTTCAATGATGCTTACAAGGGAAAAAGGTGAAACACCATTCGTGGATCCTTTTTTTGCTTCTTTGCTATGTCATGGAGCCACATATACATGTACTTAAACCCAATTGCAGTCAATAGCTCCAGCTAACAGCAGTGGCCCTTTGTTATTCCATTATGATCCATGGCAGGGGTTTGACAAAGTTCTATTACTTGTCAGCTATTTACCATAGTCCTCCTTTCGCCTGGCATGGGACCAGAGATGTAAGTATATGATACTAGATACAACAAAAACAGTTACTCCAGAATCATCCCTTCTCTTCATTCCCACTTGTGGGAAGACTACTGCCTTCACAACTTAAAAATCTAATTCAAGGTATTGAAGATCTGAACCTTCTTTTTGGGAGCTATAACAACACAGTGTCATTTTTTTTTTTGGTATATTTGGAGGAGTTCTTGCGATGAGATTGCTTAGGTTTTGATGAAAACATAAGCCATGTGGACACTGCAGACTGGGAGCTATAATGATGGCTGGTAAGGTGACTAGACATGGACAAGACTTCAGCCTTCTAGTCTTACTATAACTGTTGTTACTGTTACTGATTTAAAATGTTGATTTTGGAAGTAATCAATTTAGAAAACAAAATTCAAAAAAGTTTGGTTTCTTTACTAAGGTGATATTTCTGTCAAATAAATAGTAAAACTACTCTTGCACTAGAGAGTACCAAGGTATCGAAAGGTAGTTTTTGTACCACTAATATCTTAATAAGGATTTAGTATTAGTGATGCTGGCGATGTGACTTGGCAGGCAATCACTTACGAAAATGTGTAATAGAAAAGTGAATTTATCCAATGTTTCCCTATTGTTTTAATTTATGATTTTTACTTGTTGCATATATAATGAAGTCTACCATGAAATTATGTGATGGACATAATTTAACAATATCTTCTGTGTAATTCATGTGCTCTATGAGGATGTACAAATTTTCTTGCTGTAATTCGTCTGGTATATTGCAAAATTGAAGGTGAAAAGCAATCATTCTATGATATTCCCCCCTCCCAAAAAAAAGTACATTACTTCTTTTCTAATTCTGTTCCCTGTATCTTCGTTACTTTTCAAGCCTTCTGCATGCTCATCTCGTCACGCCCCTTTTGTTTTAAAAAAATGAACGGCGTAGTTATACATCAATCCAATTAGTCCTTAAAATTGAAGCCGAGTTTAAATGCAGAGAAAACCTTTTAAGCAAACATTTAATATAGGTTTACATAAAGCACCACTTCCCAAAAATCTCGGCAACTTTATTAAAAGAAAAGATCATGGGCAATGAACATAAGGGCAAAAGCACAACTTATGAGAGCATATATAATCACTATCTATAAATGAAACCATAACATCATTCAACCATAATAGAAATCTCTCAAAACATCCACACGTTCATCAAACCTAATTTAAGTGTAAAGTTCAAAGTCTCTAATTAAAGTAGATTGGAAGCAAAAACTAATGCTACTCAAGTCTGATGTTAAACATAGTCTATGATTCCTTTCATAACTCGCCAATATGTTTCAAAACCTAGTAGAATAACATTTCTCAAACCTTACAAATATGTTGGAAATTAAGACATATATAAGCAATAGATAATGAACATAATATTTTGGATAGATAGCTTACAAACCCAGTTTATGCATAGAAATCTTGGCTATGCATGTTTTTCAAAACATTAAGAATGCACAAGTACAGTAATCATAGATGTATAGGCCCAATCAATCAATAATCAGTCCGCACGTGGACTTTTCTCGGGGAATCTTTGGAGTCTCTCAAGCCAAGGAACAAGTTCCCCTACTTGTTTTTCTAGGAAATCAATATCGGGAATCTGTGACAGGTACACAGACAATCTCAACACCCAATACCATTAACCTATTCTCCTAAAGATTTTAAAAATTATATGCATGAGTGCAAGGATCACAACATTTGCAAACCCTAAATCAAAACACATCTGTAGGAATTATGTGCATCATTGTAAGGACCACAATGCCTACAGACCCATTATCATTATCAACATAGTGCATCCACATTTCTAGATTAGGCCGATAACAATCACATTTTAACATCCACAGTCAGGAAATTCAGTATCACATCCCTATGCATCATATAGAAAAAACATACCCCAATACTGGAAAAACATTGTTATAAGAATTCTAACTCCAGATCCAGTCTCGTTGTCCTTCCTCTGTCTCTCCTTTTCTTCGTGTTTGTCTCACATTCTTGGGTTTAAGGTGTATCCAAGGTACCCAGGTACGTGCATGGGTAGTAGTATTTGTAACTAACCAAAACTAGAGTTGGTTGGTGGAGCATTCCCTCACAAAGAAGGAATAGTTGGTTGACCACCTTCAGACTCAGTCGGCTTTGAATTCGGTCAACCGGAGTCATAGTCGTCCGACAAACCTATCTGGTTGACTAATTTTCGTGTTCTCCGTCTAGCTCAAATTACCATTTTGACCTTATATTCTTCATATCCACCTTTTAATCTATTTTAAGGTTTCTTGCTGTCTTGAATTCATTTGTAATGTTATTTTAACCCAAAACATTTTATTTCTAGGAGTTATATCAAAATTGATGTTGATATACTATCCATAATACTGAAATTACCATTTTATCCTTCTGATCCCTTACTTGAACCATTCACCTCCCTTAAGGTTTCTCGACCTTCTGATTTCATTGTTAACATTACTTGATCCTGAAAATATTTGTATTAATGAGTTACAACAACTCTCAAGTTATAGATCGTTTTCGATACGTCAAAATGACCATTTTTCCCACGTTCTAGTTATGACTTTCTCGTCTATCATTATGAATTTACCTTATTCTTTTAGTTTTCTTCGTTAAGACATTAGTTAACATGTTTTATCCTACTCTTGAAATGATTAGACCCATTTAGCCACTGGGTCTTACTCATCTATATTGTATATTACTACAATCAATCCTTGGAAGAGAATGTTTGAGGAGTCTTCTCTCCCCAAATGCCAAGTCTTGTGAGTTTTATTCAATTAATTACAAAAAATATTTGGTCCGAGGAATTCATCGCACTCAGACTTCAGTAACTAACTTGAATGGTTGCTACCCTCACTCTTCTATAGTTGTGGGCAACAAAGTTTTTTTCATTTTGGACTCTTAAAATTAGATTTTGTCATTTTGGGCTTTTAAAATTATTCTTTTGTCAGTTTGGACTCAATACCCACTCCTCTAAATTTCTCATACTCTCTCAAGATTAGGATTATAGATAGGACAAGAATTTTGTGCATCGCATGGTACCGTGCCTAGTTTTAAGTTATTTTAAATGCATGTACCATATTCATTTCGATGCAGTCTATCTCATTGTTACAAGAAATCGCTAAACTGCTGACGATCCGCAATTTTGGGTACAACGATCTTAGATGAGGTGGGTTAGCGATCTAGATCACCTAAATGTCTGACCCCAAATTTTAATACTACAACCAAATCAATTCGCTATGGAACATGTAAAATAAATATTACTTGATTATGTGTTGTGTTCGATAAATAATTGTACATTATCTTTGATAATAGGAAATTGAGCACACATGTAAAACAAATAGTAATTGACTGTGTTTTTGGATCTATTATTTTATATAATTTCATATAGTAGTAAAATTGATCTAGATAAGGATTCCAAAACAAATTGCGGACCAAAATACTGTACTGGTTAAGTCTATTTCCAGCGTATCGCATAACTAAGAAAGTATCGTACCATGTACCATGTACCATGTACCTATACTAGTACTACCTCTTACTAAATCGAACCATGATCCAGACAACATTGATTTCTCCTCACCTTCCTTTCTATAGCTGAGGAACTGAAGCATGCTGTCTAGGTGTTGGATAAGTGATAGTTGAGCATAGCGATATTCTATTTTGCATGTCGACCTATCACACTTGTGTGTGGCATTTGAGCTTAGTTTTAAGGGAATGGAGGGCTAGCATTTAATAATGATATGAAGTCCATATTTTTCTATGCATTCTGCTTGTTAACATTAGTTGTGATTACGGACGACGACTTGCATTTAATATTTTTGTCGACATAGCTTTTACCTTCTTAAACCCCAATTGGAGGATTGGTATTATGTTGACTTAAATTATATTTGTTTTCTCACTTATTTAATGGGTAAATTATATTTTACCTCCCAGTAGTTTGAGATAGTGACACTTCACCTCTAAGATTTTGAACGTACACATTTTTTTGGGTACATTAAATAGATATGCAGATATGCTATTCCACATATTCGCTAGGGAGCAATGCTCTTGAGCTATTATGGTTTTTGGATTTATTTATTTATTTATTTTTGATAAAAAGCAACAATTTTTTGATAACTAAAAAGTCAAATCAATGGTGGACAAGAAGTTCAACACAAAATAGTGAAAAAAACAGCAAAATTAGAAAAACCAAATTACAAGCCACATGAGGCTTTCCAACTAGCTCTAATGCAAAAAAGAGGAATGTCATCAAATTTCTTAGTCGTTGAAGTCCAAAAAGAAGCCATTTGTCTATCCCATAATCTCTCTACTTCTTCACATTTGTCATAAAAAAAATTCTCACATTCCTTTCTTTTCAAATCCCCCATAACGTAGCAAAGAACACATTATGTCAAAGAATCTTCTGTTTTCCATTTCTCCCAAAAACCTCATTATTTAAATAGAACATAGAATTCATATCCCTTGGTGTAGCCCAAGAAAAATTAGCAAGGTCAAAAAGTTTATTCCAAAGAACTCATGTTAAATGGCAATGTAAAAATATATGATCCACTCTCTCATAGTAACCTCTACATATAAAACACCATTGCGGTTAAAGACAAAAATTTGGTCTTCTCTTTTGAAGGACCTCATTTGTACTCACCTGACCATGGACAATAATCCATGCATAAACTTGCACCTTCAAAGGCACTTTAGCCTTCCAAATCTTTAGTAATGGTTCGAAAGAAGTAAATGATCATCGATTAAAGACTCAAATAAAAATTTATAAGAAAAAATACCTATTGGATTAGCAATCCAATATCTTCTATCCTCCAAATTAGGACTCAACATAACTTTAAAAAGCATAGGAACAAGACTCGTCAATTCCGAATATTCCTTATCATTAAAGCTCCTATGAAAGCCAGAGTCTCAAGAAATTGACTGCGAATATGATCGAACAATAAATGCAACTCGAGCATCTAGATAAGAAGAGACTCTATACAATTGAGGAAAAGGCTAGAAAGAGAAGACTCACCCACTCAATTATCCTCCCAAAACCACGCTCTAGTTCTATTACCAACCTTAACTCTTTGAGAAAAGCAAGGTAATCCATGAGAAATGAACTTCTACGGACTTTGAAAATTACCCATTTCAACCCCATTAACATCCCACCCAATCCTATACTTGCTCCTAGTAACAACATACCACAATGAATCTTTGTTCCAAAAGGGAACCTCCAGAGCTATTTTCCAACCAAGGCTTCATTTCTCTTCACTAAATTCTCTATTGAAAGTCGTCCTTTATTTTTTGTCCTGCGCATCACCTCCCAACGAATCAATGGGTTCTTCATTCACTCTCTCCCTTTTTTCCATAAGAAATCTCTCATCAAACATTCAACTTCCTTAGTCACCCTACTAGGCATGCCCGGGTTTTGGATTAAAGTGCAACAGGTAACGGGGTTGGCAATTTTGTACAAAACAACAATAATATCGTTAATTTTTTTATAATTTTTTAGTGTTTTTATTTCATAAAAGTATTATAGAAATTGAAAAATCTACTTGAGGCATAGGAAAAGGGAAGATAGCAAAAAGAAGTTCATTGATTTATAGAGAGAAGTAAAGAACATAATTTTTGCAAGGGCATAAGTCATTTTGATGTACTCTTTTACTAAATATTGACTTTTGATCTTTGACTGTTTATTTGAATGGAATTTTTAACGGTTTCAGTTTAGTATAAAACTACGGGTTCTGTATAGGTTTCTAAAGTGTATGGAGGGAATGTGTTACTGCATCAAACAACAAGAAGCTAATCCATCTTTTGATCCTTATTTACTTGTTTTTTTTTTTTTTTTGTGAG